CTAATAACAGTCTAATAACAGTCCGCTAATAACAGTCTGCTAATAACAGTCTAATAACAGTCTGACTTCCTGTCTGTGGCTCTCAGCTCCGGGTTCATTGGTTCCTACTGAAGAAATCTTTAAACGCACACATATATAGTTTAATTTTTTAAAAAGATGCTCGCTGTAGTTTTTATCAAACAAACAGAAGGAAATTCTGCATTTGTTGGGGACAATTTTAGCCGTAGATGAATCCACATTAGGTGCTCTAGTGAGTATTTGGGGCAGGAGGACGGTGTATAAATAAACCACAGTGTGTGTGTGTGTGTGTGTGTGTGTGTGCAACAGTGCAGCTCAATGATGGAGCTTAATGCACAGAGGAAGAAGATATGTCTGTGACACACACACACAGTATTTGTTAGATATATTCACTGTTGGTTTGAGTCTCTTCATGAGATATTTTAAGATAAATAAAGAATCTTTATATGTTGCTTTGATGAATTTGACTGTTTGAGAAGCTTTTTTCTTTCTTCAGGAGAAAATATTTAGGTATGATTTATCATCAGTTCAGAGAGGCTGTTTTTCTGAACTTAAAACAGACTCTGCAACATGAAAAACCCAATGAACCGTGCAGAAAAATCACCCAGGATGCTTTGCAGTTTCCTCTCACAACAGCTAAATGTCAGTTTACTCAGAGCGAGCGTAACAAGCCCCACAGGCACGAAACCCAACATGAAACAATCCTGCTGCAGCACAAACTCATTCAGCAGATACACAGAATTTGTTATTCAGACTTTAACAACCTGTAATGTACACTGACGCTCTGATACACTAATGAACTGCACGGAGGTGTTTCACTCTGGGTCTGAGCAGAGGAAACACTGCCAGCTGTCCCTGGAACAATTAAATGTACATTCAATGTGTATTTTAACAGTTGTTGAACACATTTGAGTTGAGACACTCCATTAACTCCAGTTTTAATCCTGTTTTTTTAATGATGCAGGTTCATGATATGAGACATTAAATTAGTGAATTAAGGCCCATTTTTAGCGTTCATGTCTGTTCATGTGTCAACAAAAACCTGCAGTTCCTCCAATGGCCACTAGAGGCTGGCTCCAGCAGTGAGTCTCCATAAGACCCCATATTAAAATGTCCTTACAGCAGAAATAAACATGTTTAAATCCTTTTTATATAACTGACCTGTTTAAATCATATTAAGGCTTTAAGTTTTCATGGTAGCCTTTTAATCACCGATCTGATTTAAACCTGGTGAACTCTGTGTTTTATGAGTTTACCTGCAGCCCTCCCGGCGAGGTCGTTGTTGGGGCAGGTGACCCTGATGTCGGACACCATGGTGGTGTAGGACCGCTCTGGACAGCGGTCTGTGGTGGGGCAGGGCTCGGAGCTCGGATACAGCTCCAACGCCTCTTTGGTTAGATTCTCACCGAAGGACTGAAGTTTATCTGTGTGGAAAGATAAATAGATAAAATGCACTGAAGTTATTTTAACTAAAATATTGTTGCAATGAATTACATCAACAATTTTAAGTATTTCAAGAAATACAAAGTCAATTTTGTAAGTTTCAGCAACCTGTTTAATTACTTTTTACTGGGTATTTTGATTTCACAGCACAAATAAAAATTAGTTTTACTTAAATTTTTTGATCAGTTTCAACAATTTATTGAGTTAAATTAACTGTTTACAGTGTGTATAAGGATGACTTTAATGATAGCTGCATACAAACACTGTTACCAACAAGCACAACACGAGAGCTTTAACGTTTGATCGCTGCCTCACAACGACGACCTCGTGATTTCTTGATGAGTCGCGATTAAGTTAAAGGCATACTATGCATACTAACCCTAACCGCTCAAATCTTATTAAAGTCTTATTTGTAAACACAAGTGTGAAACTATCTGTTACCTTTCACAAACCACTGGTAGTCCCCCCAGGTCCATGTGGAGATGTTTCCAGCCGGGGGGCTGCAGAGGAGACACAGAGGACTGAGTTTGACCACAGTAACAGCTGACACCGATGAACCTGAACCAGGTGAGCTCTCACCTGAAGTCAGCCTCCTGCTCTGTCGTCCCGACGACGAAAGGAACGTCACTGTGGTTCCCGTTCTTCTCCCACACCTCGAAAGGTGGACCTTCGAGGACGTATCCGTCCACCACTGCGACCGGCCCGATGAAATGCCCTCTAACGGGGAGGTCCGTCAGCTCCTCTGCTGCCCAGGACGGGTACTCCTGCCACGGCACGGCCTGCAGAGGAACAATAAAGAGTTCACCTTTGGAATATTTTAGATTAAAGGTGCAGAAAATAGAGCCGGTTTGCTCAATTGATTGATTTGATGTTTATGTGTTTGTGTAAGTTTGTTTCTGTCCACTTTGAATGAAGTTCGATGTGTATCAAGGTGTAAAGAGGTGTATGTGTCTCTGGAGGTCGTGGTGGGAGTAGGTTGATAGTGAATTAGTCTACGGTCTGTTTGTGGGTTAAACTAAAAGGGGGTCTATCTCCCATCTTAGGGGAATCCTTTGTCTTCCATCAATGCCTTCAGACACTGACAATAACAACCCGAGTACGGTTCCTTATTTTATGGAAGAAATAAAGAAAAAACATTTAAACAAAAACAAGAGAAATGCAAAAATGAAATGTACAAACTGAGTGACAGCTAGAAAAATGCAACATGACATTTTAAAAACATAATAACAGTAATATACAGAATGATGACTGCTGCACTTATAAAAGTTCATCCTTTTCACTGAGCTCGTATGTTATTTAATTTCATGTAATGCATTATTCATAATTCATCCCGAGGTTACAGTGAAACATGTTGGATGGAAGCTCTTTTTAAAAACGACTTCTGCTTCTCTGCCGAAGATCTTTTCATTTAATAAATCTTAATGGTCTTTCTGAGTGAAGGTGCCGAATATTTCTGTGAAATTATGGCTGCAGATTTCAGAGTTTCACAATGAAAGAAAAATACAATCCAGTAAATTTAGTTTCTTCATTAACTCAAATTAGGAACATCCAGGTGCTCTGATACCTGAACTATCTTTCAACAGGAGAGAGCAATTTAAAAACTTTATGATGGTTATATCACAAAGGTCGCAATGAATCAGATGTTTTATAAAATCCTCAAATATTAAAGGGAACATTAAAGAGAATAACTGCTGTAGGTGTAATGAGTTTTTTTTTCTGTTATTGGATTTTTTTTAATTAGTGGACTTCCTCTCTGATTATCTGAGACTGTAGAGGGAGTGAAGACGTCTCCTATCTATGGAAGACTATTTACAGCAATGTGACGGGGGAAAAAGGATATGTAAATGATTATAATGACAAACTTTCTCAAAACTTTAAAGCATCAAACGTAATTATGTTGAGATACTAAGTTAAGAAAATGTGTCTTATTTTTTAGATATCAAGTCAAAAATATTAAGAAACCTGGTTATTTTGAGAAAATTAGTCAAAATCTTGAGAAAGTTTGTCATTTTGAGAGAATAAGTCAATATTTCAGGATATTAAGTCAAAATATTAAGAAGCATTCTCGTTATTTTGAGAAAATTTGTGTTTTTATTTAGAAAATAAGTCATTATTTTTAGATACTAAGGTAAAATATTGATAAAGTTTCTCATTATAGAGACAGAATCACATTGGCAGGAATGGTCTTCCATACCAACCTGCAGGATCTTTTTGATGGGCAGACGTCTGAGGCAGGTCAGGTCTTTGCAGCCCGTCTTCTTCAGGAACACCAGGTTGTCGGACTCGGCTTGTTTCAGTGTGGCGTTGTAGACGTACGAGCCGCTCATGTCCACCGCCGTGTGGAAGAGACCCTTCGCCAGCGGAGACGTCATCAGGGTCCACACTGACGTCCCACCTTCACCAGACCGCAGAAGGAAACATGATGAAGATGAGGAAGACTGTCAGATGTGTTCATCACTTTACTGTTGCAGCTGGTAAAGGAGCGTAACGTTAGCCCCCAACACATGTACGACTGATATGTATGAAAATTGGTACGCAAGTGTATAATGACCAGACAAGCAAAATAGCCTCTTGGACCCATACCCCAAACCCAAAAGGAAGTTGGCCATTTTGAATTTAGTTGTCATTTTCTGTGATTTTTCGCCTTGTTTTTAACCAACTCCTTCAAGGACAATGATTGAATTGACTTTAAATTTGGTCAGTGCAAACTAAAGACCATCATAATTATAATTTGGGCTATTTGTGACTGTGTGTCAAACGTTGTGTCCGTGGCGTGCCGTATTATTTCTACATTTCGCCATGAACCAGGAAGTTTTCATAACCTCAGTGTAATTTGTTCAATCTGAACCAAACTTCACCTGTCTGATAAGAGTCCCGCCCTGACCACTAATACCAACCAATATTCAGATATAGTCATAGTGCCTAGTATGTCTCATAGTATGGAGATTCAAATTTTTACTATCTACTATCTGTCTTTGATTACTAATAATCAGTTCCTGTATCGGCCCTGAAGTAAACATACTGGTCGATCCAAAAACATGAAGGAAACCTATAAAAACCTTAAAAAGACACATTTCATGTACTTTAATTTTTACAGTTTTCATACCTGAGCTCTGCCCAAATATGGTGACTTTCCCAGGATCTCCTCCGAACACGTGGATGTTCCTCTGGACCCACTTCAGAGCCGCGATCTGGTCCATGAAGCCATAGTTCCCTGCGGGGAGCGGCGGGGAAAGGGATCGATTAGCAACCACAGCCTGCTTTGATGTGGCCTTGTTTTACAGCGTCCCATTTTCTCCGTCGGAAACAAAACCAGCTCGCTCGTAGCGCTCTGGCAGCCTGAACTAAATTTAACTTTTTTCAAGCTGAGGGAGTGAGGAAATGGGCCACGGATTCAAAATTAGAAACCTGAGCGCCGGAGAAACGGCTCCTGGAAGATGAGAGGGACTCATGCGCCCTGCCATCACGCCATCATGTCATGCGAGGCTCTCTCTCATTTAACGGGTCATTTCACATCAAGGTCACAGTGTTTGGATTATGTAACGCTAACGTCCCTCAGCGTGCAATAATGCAAACACTAACACAGCCTCAGAAATGAGCTCCATTCATCCGGCTCACATTCATTAAGCATTCACATCCTAATGGGGAGGTATGGACTGATCAGCATTCGGTCGGACTGTAAACACAATAAATATTTCAAGAGGCTTCTTAAGTGGAAAACAGCTGGTAAGAAAATGGACATTATAACTTATTTAAGCTATTAAAAGCTGCACAGTGACTATAACAACTGCTTCAATCCTTTTTGATCCTAATTTGTGTTTTGAGCAGAGCGTGTAAAGAACTCTCATTTGACCTCTGGTGACCCCAAAGAGGCCTGAGAGTGATTCTGAAATCAGTATCAGCAGAATACAGTCATACTGATGTTCTGTACTCATCTGTACATACAATTATTTTTATTTATTGATCGTGTTTCAGGCTTTTTCTTTTGCAATGTGTTCATATTACGCTTGTGTTAACCACAGACCTTACTTCTAACCAAAAACTAAGCACAGGAATTGATCAGATTTTATTTGGGATGTCACGAGAGCCGATACTTTGGTACCAAGTCGAGGCCAAAATGTTGTTTTTCTACAGTCCCGTCGGTACCGAGGATGTAATTCTCCCTGACCAGACGGTGCAGCATAAACAGCCACTAATACTTCAGTCGGCCGTTAACAGCAGAGGCGAGACAGACACTCGACACGCCGCGAACACAAAGTAAAGAAGAGTAAATTATTAATATAATCTGCACAAAAGATGAAAATAAACATTCATCCAACTCATTCAGATAAAGACTAAAAAACAAACTCTGCAGGACAGTTTTAAGGAGAGAGATGTATTAATGGGCTATATTAATATGTAAGAAAACATTAAGGAGTGACATCCCTCGATTTTATTGATACCAGCAACATTATCGATTCTGCATATCATTGCAATTCTTTTTGATCTTCTTATTGATACCTGATAATTTTCTGTGTGGAAAGGAAGAAGACCTACAGAGGTTTTCAGAGTGTGAACTCAGAGTAGAATTTAAGCAGTTTGAGTTTCTTCAGCAGGAGTTTGATGTAATTGTTTTGCAATGTGTAACTGTCAGAAAAACACACTGGCACTGATAACAGGAATTGATAAGATATCATGATATTTGATTCTGATGGATCAGACAGTTTGGAACTGGAAGAACCGGTTTCTGGTTCTAAACCACCAGAAAATCAAGTTTCTTGCTCGTGAGGCCGATTTTTTAGATATGGAAACCCTGAAAATGTTTTTTTTTTTTTTTTAATACAGCCACACTTTGACCTGCAGTACCTGCTACAGCAGCAAAACTAAAAGAATAAAACTAAACTTCAAACAGCTCAAAATAAATTTGTCAGTATGATATTGAACCTGGGTTCTGTCTCACGTTGGGCAAGAGAAACACAGTGGAAATAAGTTATTTTTCTACTTTTGTTTGTGTTTATCCTCAACATTTTTTTAATGAATATGTATTTCAGATGTCAAATAAATCAAAAACCAGTTCTCGATTCCCATCCCTAACAAAAACCGCCTGACTCTGAGGGAGACGGAGAAGCCAGAAGAGGTAAAACGCTAATTGAGTTTCAGGTTTTAGGAAACGTTCCCAGAGCACTCGACTGCGGCTCAAACATTTTAAGTAAAACTAACTTTATTTTTTAGGTAAAAAAAAAAACCCATGCTTAATCAAGTAGCTTTTGTAATTTTAAGTGAAACTGAATTTTGTGCTGTGAAAGTAGAAAGATACTGAATCAGGATTGTTTCTGTAACACAGAAAACTAAGTTAGTGTCACTTAAAATTAAAAGCTGCCTTCATGAAGAATCTTATTGAACTTAAAAAATGTAGTTTGTGTTACTTAAAGTCTTTAAAATAATCCGTTTTAACCATTTTGATGAGTTGAAGTCAGTATTGATTGACAGCTTCAGGAATAAACTGTATGTGAGTCCTGGACTGACCTGAGGTGTTCGTTGGAGAACCTTCTCTCAGTATCTCCAGAGCCAGGAAGCCGAAGGCGTTGAGTCTGTAGTTGAAGCTCACGTAAACCATTCCCGTGTCGGCGGCGAGCTTCTCGGTGGGCGAGTAGCCTTCCTCTCCTCCACTGAGCATGTGCAGGAAGCCTCCGTGGATCCAGACCATGACGGGCAGCTTGGCGTCAGGCTGCAGCGTGGGCGTCCACACGTTGATGAAGAGGCAGTCCTCCTGGCCCATCAGCTTCCCCGAGCTCAACAGCGGGCGCACCTGAGGGCACACGCTGCCGAAGCGGCCCGCGTCAGACGTCACGCTCTTGCACGTTGGTTCGGTCGGAGGAGCCCAGCGCAGGTTACCAACGGGGGGGGCGGCGTAGGGCATCCCCTTGAAGGAGTACGCACCGTTCTTCTGCAGAGAAAAATAAAACACACAAACATCTATTTAATCTGCAGGAAATCAAACTATGGAAGCACGTTAGGGACAAAAGACAAAGTTTATTGTTAAAATCAGTTGGGCAGTCACTCATTACTAGTAATAATATTACTTCCACAGTAACTAGTAGTGTAACTAATTAGTAATAGGGATGCACAATAATTATCAGGGCAGATCAATAATAATTATTTGTTTTGAATTCCGCAGAATGACTGATGAAGTATGTTTCTGAAGTTTCTTGTTGAACTTTACTTGAAAAAATAAATGTGATGTCGTCAGCCCTAATTACTAATAATTGTCAGTAATAAAAAATTATTAGTTAGTCCGTTCCCTCCTCTTCCTCATTCTTGCTGTGATTTCTGCACAATCAGCACTTGAATGCACTTCTCACATTTTAGGGGAAGTCCAGGAGGGTTAAAACCAGGAAGTAGATTTAAGGATTACAACATCTGTTCTTCAATAAAGTTTTGGTTAAAGAGGAACGTTCGGAGGTCAAATGTGTTCGTTACACTGTGATCTGAAACAGCTTTCTGGTTGGTTTCAATGAGACATTCGATGGTTTAGACTCACTAGTCGCCCTCTGAAGTCTCCGCAGTGCGTTGACACCTCGGTGACGCCCGGCGGCAGCGTCTGGGCCACGTAGCCCAGGTAGGTGGCGATAGAGAGCAGGGCGAGCACGCCGAGGCAGATGAGGACGATGCAGCGTCGGGAGAGCACCAGGAGAGGGTTGATGTAGTTTCTGTGGTGAACGTACTGCACCTCCTCCTCGTCCTCCTCCTGCACCAGGTAGCGGTACTCGGTCCTCTCCGGGACCTCGAACGCATCCTCATTCATCTTCGCTCTGGAGAAAACAGAGAATACTGTTACAAAACATAAATGGACATAAAACACTTATTTCTAAGATAATTACACCTGGTAGAAAAGGAGAGAGCCTTTTGATTTTAACTCTATATGAAACATCTTCCCTCCATTTTTAGTCCATAATTCAGATTCAGACATTGTTTGTAATCTGCTGCTCCAGATTCTTCTTTAATTATCATCATAAAAGTCCATTTGAGAGAGATTGTGCTCGTTTTGTTGTGTTTTTCAGACCTGGAATATGTAACATTGCTGCTCTCTGCTTAAGTTAAAGCTGCACAATTAATATTATAATATAATATAAATATTAATCCTGTTATCTCGCAGTTAAAGGAATGTGATCGACTGAGATATTTATGTTTAAAATGTTTGCTCCACTCATAAAAAGCTCTGCTGCGTGGTCAGGGTTCCCACTGTTTCCAGGACCTTTTCCAGGACCTTTTCCAGGAGTTCCTCATCTAACAAGTATAGCATTAATGCATTCTTCCAGGTTCCCAACCCACAGACAGTCTCTCTGTTTGACTACAGTTTACTACAGTAAACACAGTTAATTTCCAGGATATTTGTTCATTTTAATCAATTTCCAGGTGTTTCAATGATTGGAAAACTAGTCCCTACATTTCCAGGTTTTTCATGATGTTTTATTATTCTTATTTTGATGCAGATTTGTACATTAGCAGGAAAAGTGAAAGCTGCTCTTTATTTAAATAATCTGTTGTTGTATATTGAAACAGCAGATATGGAAATGTGTGTGTATGAGTACAGTTTATATTAATATATGTTATAATATATACGTTTATAATTTAACTGACAAGAAGCAGAGAAAGGTTGAAATATAAAACTTCCTCTGACTCCTTTTCAAACTAGTAATATTAATAATATTTAATGTTGTTTATGAGGATTTATTCATTAAGGTTATTGTTCATTTTATTTTAATGTTATTTTTCCATTTCTTTCTTTTATATGTTCAAAAATTATATAAACAAACAAATGCTATAGAAAGGTTTATCCCTGGTTTAACTCTTCTGTTTAACTGTTCTGAAATACGACTTTAACAACCTTTACTTCAGTTTATATTATTAAATTATACTTTACATTAGTACTCGATTACAGGGGAAATCACTTTTAATATTACATAAAGACATTATTACATTTGTCTGAATCCATCTCCAGATGTTTGTGATGAACATGAGGATGAAGAGTGAAAACAGCCAAACACATGATGATCTTATAGGATAAAGTTGAATATAATAACAGTATATAAAATAAACCTTAAACACAGACAGCAGCTAAATATAACTTTGGTTCTGGTTCTTTTTCTATTTTATTTATTTAATTACATTTATTTCATTTTCATTATTTCTTCTTCTTTTATTTCATCTTATATATTTATTTATTACATTAGTTTCTTTTTTCGTATTTTATATATTTTTTTACATTATATATTTATTTATTTCCTTTCTTATTATTTATATTTCTATTATTACTCCCATACTTTTCCTTCAGGTTTTGAATGCAGGACTTTAGTAATGGAGTATTTTCACAGTACTTTACCTAAAGGATCTGAACTAATAGTAACTAAAGTATATGAACTAACAGTAATAAAGTATATTAACATTGATTAACACTGAATATACTGTCAGCGGACATCGTGAGTTCAATAAAGTTCCTTCAAACATCCGCTGGATACAACAATGTGTAATATTTATATTATATATAATAATATAGATTATAGTTATGTATATTATAATAGAACTTTATAAAGCAGACTGCGGGCAGAAACGCTGCTTTTACAGCTCAAACTTTTCCTGCTCAAACTTCCTCCAACTCGACAGAAACACCGAATTATCTCATTATTATTATTATTGTTCATGTTGTTGTTGTTGTTGTTGTTGTTAGTGCAGGACAAACAGCCCAGCAGTTACTCACCATTTCCTGCAGACACATGAGGAGAAACTCAGACAAACAAAAAGTTGACGCATTTAGTTCTTCACGGGGCGGAGTGCGCATGCGTGAATCTCATCCGTTGGTTTAACCTTTAAAGGGACAGTACACAAATAACTGATCATATAGTATCAATAACTGATCATATAGTATCAATAACTTATCATATAGTATCAATAACTGATCACATATATACTGTCAATAACTGATCAGATATACTATCAATAACTGATTATTGATCCTCTCACAGCCTGATTTAATTTAATTAATTAATTTTTTTTATTCTTACATTTGATATTATTCCTATTTGTTTATTTAATAACATTTATTAATTATTTTTATTTGATTTATTTAATTACATTTGTTTTTATTATTAATTATGTATTGTTAATTTATTTATGTTATTATTTATTATATTTTCCTTTATTATTATTATTTAATTTTCTATAATTTTTATAATTTTTTTTATTTCGTTTTCTATTATTTTTAGTTTTTAGTTTCTATTAGTTTCCTATTAATTTATTTTATAATTTTTTTATTATTATTTTCATTCTATGTATTTATTTTAACATATGGCATTTATTATAACGGTGGTTTCACGTCTCATTTAACCACCGAGCAGTAAAGCTCAGTTATCTTCCTTTAGTCCGTTGTTTACCGCGATCGATGAGCGTCATCCATAATGAGCATCGAGACCTCAAAGTGGCTCTGTGACTGGCGGCCTTACAGAAACCACATTAGAGGGATCAATGAGGATCGATGGCTGCGTGGGCACAGTTAAATGTTGTCACTAACTGTGTGATCAGAGTGATTGATCGAGAGTCCCGCTCAGTTTCTGCCCCCGTCAGACATTTTACTGATCGACCTGCAGCCAGCGAGGAAGGACGCCGAATATTTCTACCAGGAAACAACAAATAATTCCTTCATCTCGAGTTTAACCAGAAAATCATCTTCATCTGGTTCAAATAAAAACCACAAAGATCTGAACATTGAATGGAAACAATGTGGATTCAACCTGGAAAGCTAACTGAGGCTAAAGCTAACAGACTGAGGCTAATTCACTCATTAATTACAACTGCATTCATCATTAATAAAATATTATATATATTTTATGAAATCTCTAATTCTGTCCGCAGTGTGAGGAGGCCCGAACCGACTGATGGTCTCAGTCTCGGTCATTGAACGAGAGATTTAATTCATAGGAAGTTAATTTAACTTCAGTTTATAATCAACGTAAAGTAAAAATACTGTAAATTATCTGTTAAATATATATTTTCCTCAAGTGAAGGACTGAAGGAAACTGATTGTAAGGAAGCCCATTAAGGTCAATATGTCATCATTTTTAGATTAAAATAAATTTCAAGTTTTTAAGTACAAACTCAAAGTTAAAAAAGATTATTGATGAAGCAACTTATGCTTTATAACTTACTGTTACTTTGTTTTCACAAATTAAATCAGTGTCACTTAAATTTACTAAAGCTACTTAATCAACAATGTTTTTTATTAACTTATTAACCTTACAAAACTAAGTTAGTTTTACTTTGTGATCAGTTTCAACAATTTAAGTTAAATTAAATTAAGAGTGGCGGACTCCTCCAGAAGAGGACGTCTCATCCTAAGGGAACAAAAACAGTTAATTATTATATTATTATATTATTATTATTATATTATATTATTATTATATTATTATTATTATTATATTATTTTATTATTATTATATTAATATTATATTTCAGTGTTTCACTCTGGACCTTTAAATAAAAGAACTTCCTGCTGCTGACGTCTCGGTACCTCCTTCCGGGACGGGGACCGAATGTTTGAACCGCCCGACCTCCTTCTTCCTGTCTGCAGAGTCACTTCCTGTATAATCAGCTGCTGCAGTGTGGACGTACTTCCTGGTTCTACAGTAGAAGAAGAAGTAGAAGAAGAGTCCTGCAGCTGATCAACAGTGGCACTGTCTCACTGTCTGTCTGACTGTCTCACTGTCTCACTGTATAATGACTCTGAGGTTCAGGCTCTGATCACAAACAGAAAATCAGACGTTGTTTTCGACGTGTTTCTGATTTTGGATTTCAGACGTTTGCATCAGAAAGTTGTATTTTCACAAAAGTTCAGTTTTTATCTTTATTTTGGTCTCTGGTGTCAATCAAAGCTCGTATTTTTGGTTATTGTGACGCTTTATGAGGAGGTTTCCTGAACGAGGCCTGGAAGCGTCTCATTAGCAACGATAAGAGCTGGTTGGACTCTCAAAGAAAGAATCTCTTAACTTCCATCTTCTGATTGCATCATTACACACAAGGAGGAAAATATCTGAGAGGAAACTTTTAGACTAATCAGGTTCAGTGTGTAACATCGAGGAGGATCTATTGATACAAAGCTGTAACTACACAACTTTATGATACTAAATCCTGCACACTGGATATTTAAGTGGCATTTTATTTTACTTTTATTAAGTCTTTATTAGTTGTAACTTTATTTATTAACACTAAATATAGAAAATAAATCTGGAATAAGGAATTCAATGTTTACATTCATTGTTGTTTTTTATATAAACTTTAAATCCTACTATTTAAAGGACCTGTGCGGGAGGATTAGTGACATCTAGTGGTGAAGTTGCAGATTGCAACTAAACTGAACCACCACTCGCGTCTGTATCTGACGACCTGGGAATGAGAATGGGCCGTGAAGTGGACTGCAGTTCAACGTGGCGGACCCCGCCAGCAGAGGACCCACTCCCTCTGTAGATAAAAACACACACACTGATTGATATTATCAGGTGATTAAACCAATAAAAACATACCTGTGACTATTATATCACATTTCACACACTAAACCTTTAAGTTTTACCTGAAAACATACTTTATAATAATAATAATAATAATAATAATATGGATTTAACTGTTTTTGAACCTGGTTTAACGTCAAATTTGTTGAAAGGGTTATTAAAAGTGTCACTACTATAATAATTAATGTTGTCACAGATTGTAACATGGCTGCACTTTGATGGACATTTAAAAGTATAAATAATACAAAACAATGTTCTCTTCCTCTGCGGCTCCCAGCTGGTGGCGTTCACGTCCTAAACCAAACTGTCATCAGGCCGAACGCTGGGGACACCTTGGCATTTGCTCTCCTGGCTGAAAAATTAGGCTTTTTTATGGTTTGGAGCTGAATCGTGTTTGCTGGAGGCTTTGTTTAACGTTTGAACATCGCGGAAGCAGCAAGGGTTTGTTCCAAAACAAAGTCCAGGACAGAAAGAGAGTTTTGAAAGCCAGAAAACCTCAGTGCCACCCAGAAGTCTGGATCAGTGAAACAGGGTGAGATCAGGGTGTGAGCGGCAACATCAGCACGCTTTAAAAGACATCTTTTACTTGAAGCACTAACAACTTTATTCTCAGTTGCTTTAGAGCAGAGAGACTCAGAGAGGCCAGTCACTAAACAATAATAGATCATATCAGAGAAAATGAGCAAAATAAGTTGTAAACATCTCTTTTCTCTTGGTGCAACCAGACGGCACTAAATCCTACACACTGCTCCTTTAACACTCTGACTCTTCTATCAGAAGGTTGTTGGTTCCATCTTATACACACCTCTATAAATCCTGTCCTGTGTCTGACTACGCGTTAACTGGGGCCTTTCACACTTTACAGTCACGGACCACAGACTCTGTCAGTGATTTTGGTGAAACTGGATCAGATTTTATGGAGAAAATGTTTTTATGGTTTTCCCTCTGACGTCCTCCAGCTGCTCTGCCTCAACTCTCAGTAAAGTAACTGCTGCTGAATGCAGCTGCTGTTAGCTAGTTAGCTTAGCCTGTACAGCTAGAGATGCCCAGGGCTGCATGCTCAGAGCACCGGGGGAGTGTTGGCGTTCACACTGGCAGCACAGGAAGAGGAAGTCTTCAGGAACGCTGACAGAGAGCAATGGGCGATTCTAGGATTTATTAAATGGGGTGGCACACGAAGACTGAGTCAGGGGAGGCCATTGGGAAATCAGTAATACTTACAGCTTTGGAAATTGGCTTAGAAAACATTGAGCAGTGGATACAGGGTGGATACATGTGGTCTTACATTAAAAGTGGCTCCGCACAAGAGCCTGAAAATCAGTGTTTTACATGGACAAATTTATTACACTACATAAAAAAAACGTGTGAACAGTGAACAGTGTGTGTGTCCTTGATTACATATCTTTCTATATTTGGCCAGGATTATCTGATTTAAAAGTGAGGAAAACATTCACTTTTTTCTCCTTTTTCTTGAATAAAAGTCTTTATATGTTTACAGTGATGAACGATGACATTACTGTGGGAGCCTTGGAAGCCCTTAAACCTGTTGAGTGTCGGTCATATTTCAGGGGTCTGTCTGTGCTTCAGTGGACAGAAACTAATGACAGAGACCTGAAAGACGTTGACAAAGGAAAACGAGAAGAGAAAAAGCAGAGTAAATTGTGGGACTGACTTTTAATTAAACAAATGTACAGCTGTCCATATCTACCACAGCGGTATTGCACTCTGAAACTGGGGGCGCCAAATCACAACAAATGCAAAAGGAGAGTCCATAATTGAAGACACTGTATATTAATATATAAAGCCTGTAATTGTAAATTGTTCAAAGAATATGCTTCTTCAGCCTCTGTGGCTGATGTGGACGCACTCAGGCCTCTCTGACTTTATTACTGGAGATAAAGAAGACATCAGAGTTTCTAAAGTGGTTTAAGCGAGGAGGAGCAGACAGATTTATCCCTCAAAAGAAAACAATAAAGGCCTATCTCTCAGCAGCAGCAGGAGCGGCGGATTTGGTCAATTACAGAGGAAGAAGAAGGCCGCTGCTCCTCTTCAGCACAAACACAACAAAACAGTCAGTCCACACTGAGGGGAATACAGTGTCCTCAAGAGGAAGCAGACTCTCCTTAAAATCCCCGGGTGGAGACAGACGTAGTCAGTCAGCAAGGTCTGTACAGTCCGCCACCGGGGAGAGAGACGGGAGTGCTGGTGGTCCAATTGGAGTGGATGTTGTTTTTACAGGCGGGCGTCATAAGAGGATTTAACATGAAGATGGGACGGCTGTAATCCCCACGTTAAC